TTGACGTACCTTGAGCGGAACGATAACTTTCGAATAGAAGACGGCCCAAGCGGGATCATCGTTGTTTTCGAAAGGGCGATCGATCGATTTCCCCGCAATCGTTTCGCTAAACGAGTTCCCCTCGTAAAATATAAATATGTCTCGTGTATCTTCTTATCGTGGTTGTCATGTCTGAGTATCCTAGTGCCCTAATCTCTATTCCCGTGTTATCTCGAACGCGATCGAACATGACCAATAAAGCATACACGCGCCAAATGAAAACAGCACCGTGCGCGTAAACAGTGCGGTCGCGCAAACTCTTCCGTCCAGTGTCCCTACCCCGACTTCCGGTTCGCCTAACGAATCCCTTCCTATTTACCATTGTTCGCTTACGGTCTACGTTGATTAAAAAAATTAAATAGAAAACTGGTGCTAAACATTTGAGCATATTTCTCGTACGAAAATAAAGCTCCGCGAGCACGTTCGTGCTTCCCGGTGGTTTAGGATGTTTCCGGCTCGACGCAGCCGGAACCTTGATCGAGCAAAACTGACATTCAGCCTGGGCCTTTCAAAACTAGGGCATGTACGTGATTGTGATGCGTATGATGATACACGTTTGTTGCTTTCTATCCTAGAAAAGATACTTTATAGCGCAGCTGGGCCACGAAACGGAGAGAGGCGATGACGCAATATTGATTGTATGTCATTTGATTGAGTCAGGGGAGATGCTTTCAGCTTTGATCTTGCGACAGGGCACCGTATTTGTTACCCAGGGTTAGCTTTGGCGCTTGTACCTGTTCTGGCACGTACGATCTACTTCCTCCTCTGTTACGGACTTCTTCGAACACACCTTCATCTCGTTTCCTATGATATGAATATTCTTAGAATTATCGCGGTTAGTAATTAAAACCATTGTAGTCCATTAGACGTTCTTATTAACAAAGAAGTATAAGTACCTACCGCCTGCCCCATGGTCCAGTGGGTTCGTTGCTCTGTTGCTGCTTAGAATTTAAAGTTGGGAAGTACTCTTCGCTATGTATATCCGGCGCAATATTCCTCCCTGGTCCCAATCTGGGACTAGAGGCTACAGGTTGAACGTTTCTTAAGTGAGGTGGCTTATAACTACTTCCTGAAGTAACTGGTGGAGGTGGTGGGGCTGCTTCTGTTACTACAGGTTGTGGAGGATGTTCTGGTTTTTTCCATGGCCCTGAGTGCTTTCCACCACCTTCTCCAGATTCTCCATCTGAACTATTATCTCCTGTGCCTTTCTCATCATCGGATTCTGCATCTAAAGTCTCATTAACTGTTAAGTTTCCTATTTTCAAGCCAGTATAATCCTTCTTCTCTTCTTCAAACTCTCTCCATTCGTCTTCATCCTAGAAAGTAATATCTGCATGTACCGTTGGCAACAGTTTACAAACTGGTTGTTCAAAATGTACTGAAGTAAATCTCTCAATAGACTATGTTGTTACTAATAATTCTTGCATGATAACTTGGTAACTATTATGGAGATCATACAAGTACAACATAAATTGTACAACTCTAATCAGAAATTAATGATACACATAGAAATCACCATATTATGACGCTGGAAAAAATGTTGTTGAAAGACTCTTTTACTTAAACCTTAGTCAACTGATGGAATTCTTATTTAATATCATTCAGCTATAGAAACATAAACTATGTAATTAATTGTTCAATAGTACTATATGCTGTTAAGAATTTTTACTTTTATGAATACACAATAGAATAAAGTCCTTTTTTTCTTACTTGAAGATCAGCTAGTTTCAAAACTAAACTAGGAGTACTCTAAAAATGGTACTCGAATCAAATTTATGCAACTGATACATAGCAGCATGAGGGATGACCTATTATTATATTAAGGTATGTACTATAGGCACAACGTTATTGAATAATAACAGAAACGTTCTTTCTTTTATAAAATAACGCATCAAATCAGAAAACAATCATCCGCGATAATAATCTCGAACAGCTGCTCCGTGTCGGCGAGTTTTGCCGCAGAATATATCCGCGTTCGCGTTACCATGCAATTACATAACGAACGATTCGATCTTTGCACGGCGAGGGAAAATTGGTCGCGTTAAATTTCCGTGTCTCCCGAAGCGAGCAGATAATTTCAGCGATCGTAAGAATGACGTTTGCGCGAACAAATATGGCAGCGGCCTGTGCCACACGGGTGAGTTGGTAGTTTTGAGGTGCTGGCGCGAACTGATGGTCAGAATAACAAGAAAAACCGTAATCAGTTAATAAAATGAAAAAGGGAGGACCTTTACCTCGGTTTGCTGAGTCTCCTCGACCTCAGGGTTCGTTGGTTTGTCTTTCGTTTTCGACTTTCCCAACCACTTTCCCGTCTCCTCTAATTTCTTCGCTATCTCGTCGGTGGTAGTGAACTTCCTTCCCTTCGCTTTCTTGCGGTCTTTCTTCGCAAAGAAATCGTCCAAGTCCGCCATGCTGCGATGATTTTCACGGTGCACACACGATTATCTTTACGAAAGTCTTTATTCACAAGAGAGAGCACGAGGAAGGGCCTCAACGCGGAATGATCGGAGCCACTGCTGCTGCTGTCCACATGGGCTTGTCTTGGCCGGAAGTCGGAGACTTACTCCGAAGTCAATGCAGTTTCCGAATCTGCAAAATTTTTCATAAAAATGATTTTTTTCCGTGGAAAATAGGCTCAAAAATTTCCTATGCACGCAACACTGCCATTTTATCACAGTATATTGCCTGTACTCTATGCAGCATTGAGAAATTCACTGAAAACCAAACGAATAAGTGGCGCTGACTGTCTAGCAGAAGATCGACACAAAAAAATCCGAGGATTACCTAACCTACAAATCTTCTTTTGCGAAACGAATTCATCAAATTAACGGGGTCGTTTGAGACGTGGTGAGATAAGCTGCCAGTCTTACGGTGACTCATAAATCGAAAAAGCGATCCGAAAGATCACAGAAAGATGAACACGTGCAAAGACCACGACGTGTACATAGGTTAATTGATCCATGATTCTTATCATTTCGCTTGCCGTCGATGGCGCCAGGTGTTCCTTTTTGCCACTTCCGGAATACAAAATGGCGCTCGAACCTTTTTTACCGACATTTGCTGCATACAATAAGAAAAATTGCATACATTAATGTTACACTACATTATACTACTATTAAATGTATCTTTTACATTATAAGACCTTATATTCCGTTGCTAACAAATCGACGGAAACAAAATCTTTTTTTGTCATGTCCCACTTTGTCTGAAAAGACAGTAGTGGCGATCTATTCATAGACCATCAATAAAAAAAACCTTTCTTTGCGTTTTCCTTCAGTTACATTCTAAATAACCCATTCAACATCTGTTCGGATTACTTCCTCAAGAATTTACTCCATTTTCTCGGTCCAAAGACTCCGTTCGACGTCCTTAAACGTGTCCTGCCGGTAAACTCGCCGATGCAGCCGTCGATGTCTCTGCGATAGGGCCCAAAAAATCTCGTCGCGAAAGGATCGGAGTACTTAACGGTCGAATTGCTTTTTAAAATCAAGCATCGCACTGTCGTAAAAACGATTAGACTCGGTGAATACTTTGAATATGGCGCGTCCACGGCAAAGCCCCACTTTGTTCTTTGGTAGGAGATACGCAGCCGCGCGTATCGGAGAGAGGAACATATAGAAGGATCCCTTTCTTGAAGCGTCAGTAGTCGTGTCTAGCCTTGCCACGAACCAATGCGATCGGGGGTGTCGCTTATCCTCGTACCGGTGTACAACACGGAGGAATCCTCGAGCTATTTCACCTGCCTGCGGTAGATTCTCTCGTGAACTTGACACTTTTACCAAGGAGACGTAAAAAGAACGGTTGAGCAGCCCCTTGGTCTGTCGTTGAATCGCGGAGAAACCGAGTCAGTGGGCAAAAAAAGAAAAATAAAGGTTCATGTGTCACGAAATACGGCAAAATGAGGCTCACGCGAAAGTGTCTCGGCAACATCACCAAGATGCTGGATTTTTACTCGCAGTTCAACCCCTCGCCGCTTTCGATAAAACAGTTCATCGATTTCGGTGAGTGAGAGCACAGACAGGGACGAAACGAAAAGAGGAGGTACAGACGGATGCTCGTTTACTAGCCTTCTCTCTTCTCGAATTGTCCCTAAAAAATTATTTACCCTGGGTTTGTTTTCGTTGTTGTACACAGCACGAGAAAGGGAGAAAGAGTGGCGCGAATCAATCGATCGAACGATGACCTCGATAGACTATCGTTTTCAGGGTCGCTTCGATAACAATCGTGATAATTCTGGGGCCATCGCACCGTGACTAGTTTACACGGTAGTTTACAGTGGTAAATGGGTATACTTGCGATAGCGTTGCTGCATTGTTTGCTTCTTGTATCAATGCATTCAGAAATCGAGCATATCCGTTGCGCGTTCCGAGATCATTTCTCTGCTCGATCGCGATCGAATGAGTTCGTAGGCGTAAGTAAAACGGATACCGATAATCGAAGACCTCTTGTGTTTACCGTAGAAGTCTTTGTGAACTGGTTTAGAACGTGATTGGTTTAGATAAAATTTTAGATCGAGTAGCAGAAAATCACAAAGTTCGTATGAACCGCGCATATTTCTATTCTCTTCTGTAATCGGCGAGACAAGTTCGGGAAGGTTACACGATTTATTCAAGTAACCAACAACGCTGATTTAGCAAGATCTAAGGTCGCTGATCTCGCTGATTTTTTCTATCGATCTTCAAGTGTCACTGCACTCTTGGAACTGACAGATTCGTAACAGCTGTCGCAATCTGAGAGCATTGATGCGTCTTCAATTTCTGAATTATCCGACTTGATCGCTAAATTAGCTCACGTTATATCGATTCCGGCACCAGTGCGGCCAGTCCAGTCAGTTACAGGGGTCACGTTACACTTGGAGTAATCCATAAATTCTTGCGTCATCCATGTGTTACCGCTATGTTCTTATTTACTCCGATATCCAAGAAATTTTTATGTCACCGAATCATACCGTATGTTTGTAATTAAATGGATTGCGTATACTTAACGGATCAAGAAGTCGGAAATTTAAAATCCGCAGGAATTCCACTAGAGGACTTCCTCCAGCGGAATGAAGTTTCGACTTCTTCCTGGATAATTACAAAGAACATGAATTTAAACATGAATTAACATTCTTGTACGGCTTATTATTGATCGAAGTTGCGTGTGTTTCGTCTGGTCAGATGTGTTTTGACATTGACAGACGGCACAGACGCGTTTCATGACTCATCTGCGTATTCTTTTTTAAATCGACATCATTTAACAAGTTCACAAAACAAACAAGGATCATAAAGTTCGATAAAAATTTACCCGTCGCATCTTTGGACTTCGGTAGCAGTTACGAGTCTACGTTGACACGACCAATTCTGACGTCCACGCGATCATAACGTCGCGATGATGATCCTGTGTATATCTCGCACGGTTAAAATTAGTATCGTCTGATCGAAACACAATTTTCACCACGAGGTCATATTCAAACCATTTTTCCGCCGATGCAATTCGCTTTATTATCATTTTGTGTGTACGTTACGTGTGTGTTTGCCCAGTTGACTACGCTGGGAGCAAACTTGCTAATGAGTCGGTGTGCGTGTTTCAATAACATCCTGCTTCGCCGTTGATTGGCAGTCTGCTTATTCGAATTAATCACACGCCGATTCGTCAGTCATTTTCTGTTATCAAATCATATTTATACTCCACTCCTAACAACAATACTATTAATTATCCTTCCAAGAAAATCTAAGTAGCTTCCTACTGATTCACATCAGCTATACTGGTACCTAAAACTTCCTAAGTCTAATTTATACTGCATTCCTAACAACAATACAATGAATTCACAGTCAATACACCAATTATCCCTCCTAGGAAACACCTACTTAGCTTCCTACTGATCAGCTATAGCGTACCTAAACTTCCTATGGTCTCTTAAGGATGCTCTAAAAAAAAAAAAGCTAAGACATCCCACGATCGGCAGAAAAATGTAACGAAATTCCATGAATCTCCCGTCGAGCGAACAAACTGTTCCGGTTGTGACGTAACAACTCGCATATTGAAGGATTCGAGCAGGTTGTTCTCTCTCCTCGCGAGGAGGTCAAGGCTAAGCGTTCCGATCGTCGTCAGGGAACGGCGCACCATCCCCCAATTTCGGTCACTGTCATTGGTCCCCTGTCTGCTTTCACGAAAATAGAGTAGCAAAAGTGTCGTTATTATTGCGGCTGGAATGCTGCCATTTTCCCGTGGATACAACTCGGTGAACGTGGGCGTGCAGAGGCTCGTGAATTTTGAACTCCCTAACTACTAATATCGCAGCTGAATTGGTGCACGCGCATCTTTGACGCAAATGAACCAACGCGATTTCCGACCCGAATACACACTTTCTTGACGGTCCGTTCCGAGAATGCGGTTGCTATCGCACCACACGTACGCTTCCGGTGCGTGAAAACAGAACTGGCCTTCGAATAGAGTCGTACACATAGGTACACGATGCGACGAAATTAGTTATCATTTCGAATCATCCGAAGGACATATGGTTTCTCTATCTCGAAAAAGTCATCGTGGGAGAAGAAGGGTTTCATAAGGGTGACAGTATTGCCCTACTGACTAACGTATCTGCAAGTTTTATATATTTCAAGTTATTCGGATACTAAATATTATTTTTTAACTTATTCCTAAAGCTGTATTTATTGTTTATATCGACGTGACTGCCCACGACAATTTTACCGCGGTTAGATATTGTTGCAAGGTAAATAAACATACGTGGCATTTAAAAATAACGTAAATAACTTTAACTCACGTTTAGAGAGAAGTTCACGACCATTGCATCAAACTCATGAATACGCGAGAAATTTATTAAGTACTTTGGGTATACTTCCAAAGGGCCTTTTCGAGTTTCCAAGAAGAGACGAGCCAGTAGTGTAATTTTCATGGAAATAAAAAAGTTTCAGTAGGTACACTAGGAGAATATTTATTCCACCTAATTCCAACATCTGCAACCTTGAAAATCGATCGATTCGATAGGGGGCAGCTTCTAATCCACGAGTTCTAAGATCTTAATTACTGTTGATTGCATTCCTCGCGCGCCACGCGGACAAAGAATGTGTTTATCGGCTGGCCTCGATCGAGATCAATGACAATTTATTCCCCGTTTCATCACTTTCTTCCCACTAAAACACACCAGAGAGGCTTTACTCTCGCTGTGTCGTTCGACGTATGTGTATTCGGCTCCTTTCACTCTATCCCCGTTCTCATCAGGCGACACGTTTGTTCTCGCTGACGCAATGCCAAACAGACGCGTGCATAGAGACTGTTTTTACCGCGTTCAACCTGATTAAACGAGGCTCGCTCGCCGCCGTGCAAATAGAATGAATATAATTTAACAACAACTCGACGTGACATCAACTTTTGTTGTAAGGTGCGATTATATCCGCTATCAGGCGCCAATTTTCATTTTCGGATCGACGGATGCTGTTTCTGTCTTTCTTTGGAACTCCGTTCGCTCCAATAAAATTCTGATTTATGTACATACCTATAGGCCAGTGTTTCCCAACGTGGGACAGATTGAATATTTTGGGGGGCAATTAACAAATCACCCGACATTCGTCACCTCATCGATAAGAGTTTTACCTATATGCTTTTTTTATTTAAAGCATCTATTAACCCTTATAGTACCATAAGTTTTCCAGGAACCGTACAAAAATACCTTGAAAAATATGCGATCTATAAAAATTAACATATATTTTTTTAAAAAATGAAGATATTTTCACGTTTCCTTTAATTTTATTATCCCTATGCAGTAAACGTATGGTCCACTATATAAACTTATTTTATAAAAATAAATTGTCACTACACGTGTTCAAATTATATTAAAAATGGAAAGTTAATATGCATATCTGCTCAATGTATTTTTTGGAAAACCCACAAAGCCGATATATTTATATACTAAAATTTAAACCTTTTCAGAACTTGGTTTTACTATTATGCTAGGGGGCATCGAGATCTTTGAGGCGAGGTATGATCCAAAAAAGGGTTGGGAAACACTGCTACGGACACTACAGTGAATTGACGTATTCAACGGTCGCGATTTATGCACATACGGGCGGTGTTGTGACGAGAATATGCACGTTGGTCAATGCAACGCGTGCATCTAGAATCTAGACGTTCAGATTAAGGCCTTAAAGTTAAATAGCTGCTTCCTGATGCTGGTAGCATCGTCGACGGTTCTAGAATAACGGAGCGTTCGATGGCTTGCATATGTCTGATCTACATTACACTAATGACCGATGGTAAATCGTTGTTGTTTTAAGTGCTCGATAAGCGTGGCGTCATTTTTCATACTGGATCGAGTTGGTTTCATCGAAAACTCGTCACAGTATCACGTGCTGTCTACAGATACATGTAGAATTAACCCATTATCTGTTCCTTTATTTTCGAATGGTACCGTGATTAGGGTATAATAAATTTGCAATAACATTTCAATTGATAACATTTAAATCTGAACGATCCACACTCGAGAGAACGGTCTGGTATGCTGATAAAGACTCATTATCACGGGAAAAGAATATGAAAAAGAAAGACTCGTTGTGAGGCATCAATCTGTGTACACTGTTATCTAGTCCGAGGCGTGTGTCTTCCCATCTACATATATGTATATACAATACACGAGATGTGCTGTGGTCGAGCCTGGAAAACAGCGATTAGGACGATTCGAGCAAGTTCCACAGAGACTAGATCTGGCCAAACGCTAGTCGAGTCTATAAATGCATAAAATCGGCTGTCTGTTTATTAGGGCAGATCCAAGTATGTACATAATTTTTCATTAAAAAAGCTGGACAGAAAAATCTAAAGTGTCTATAAATCAGTTTTTAGAAAAAAATTTCAAGTACTCTTTTTCACTCGACAAATGGAAGTTTTCTATACACGTGTATACTGGAACATAAAAGTGTAATTTTATACAATTTTACGTCTCGTAAAAAATTAATGAATAGTCCGAACTCTGCGTCGATCGTGCGATTTGTATTCAGCTCCGAAA